TGTTTGATTGCACATTGATTTCATTGCTCACTTCTAAGCGTTTGAATTTGTTGTGAGAAATCCTTCTCATGGCGGTTGAATATACTCCGCTTTTGGGGCCAGCTTTCAAGTGGCGTCGCTCCCTAGGGCAGTTTGAAATACTGGTATCGTGGGCAGGATTTCATCCAGCCTCAGACTGGATCTCGTTGCCCCAGTCTCTGAGGCTCTTGCCGTAGCGTGTGAAGCAACAGGAGCTACTCTGTCACACGTTTGCCCTTTCAGCCTCCCTTTTGCTGGTCCTTGCTGGCATCCTTCTTCAGCAATACCCTTGGGTGATGCCCAGAACCACCAGGTTGTAGAGTTACTCGTGTTCCCTCTCCCTCTTTCTTTCTGTTTTTTCTACCCCAAGGCGAGTGCTTCTGTGTCAGGCAAAGGGCAGGGCTTCAACGCCGCTGTCTCCTGTGGTCTTCCCCTCGTGTGTGTGCCAAGGACATCTTTGGCCCTGACACTGGAGGCAGGGTGGGCAGCAACCCTATGGTGCAGGAGCTAAACCCCTGCTAAACCAGGAGGCTGCACTTGCAAAGGGTTCGGTATGAAAGGGGCTCTCGCTGATCAAAAGTGCCGGAATGCTACGAAGCAAAGTTGGTTTGCTTTGCGTTGCAATGCAATAGCAAGTCAGGAGGGCTCAAGCTCAAGGTAGGTGATTTAACCTTCAGAGCCTGTTTGCAAGTGAAATGTCTTTAAATGTTAGCTGAAGAGCCAAGAGAGGTCCACGCTGCCTGCTGAGCTGTCTCTAGGCACTGCCTGAGGGATGCTGGTTGTCAAAGGCTGGGACTGTGCCAGGGCATGTATGCTCAGTCGAGCAGGGTGGGTGTCTGTGTGCCGGCACCTGATCCTGTTCCTCTACCAGCACCTGATCCTGTTCCTTTACCAGCACGTACGTAGCCTTTGGGGACCTAAGCCCAAGTTTTCTGGCCCAGATCTATGAAATCTTAAGGCTGCCGACTCCTGTTTAAACACTTCCCGTTTCTATGTGTGGCAAATTATTGACCTTGGTCTACCTGTGCCTTTGAGAATAAGCAGAGTGAGGGTCTTCAGTCACTGGGGTGTATTTGTTTGGAGTGTCACGCTGTTTCCCATCTCATTCAAAATCTTGAGTAAGCTGAACTGCTGGTAACCAAAAAGGCCTTACCGCCCGAAGGCAGGTTTCCATGGCAAGACAAAGACAGAACATCAGGAAGGAGTTCATCTGTGTCTGACAATTCACTTGCTATACTGGTCTTTGCAATGCTTAGACTCTGAGGGAGGGGGAAATAATCAAGTATTTCTTTTGAATGCACAGCCCTGCTTCCTCATGGCTAGCATCTTTCTTAGCAAGTGAATTATTCCTAGCTATGGCCAAATTCTGTGTCAATTCTACCCTTTATACTAAATGTCAAGATTCAAAAGATTAGATAATTATCAACACGAGCATTCTTTGTACTGTTTATATTTCATGTACAACGTGGTAAAACCGAACAAAACCCTCAAGAATCCTGGAGGATAAGATAAAGGAGTTTGTATTGTTGCACGTCCCCACATTTGAGCATCTAAATAAAACTCATACCTCCTGCTTTTGGTCCTGCTTCTGCAACCGACTCTTGGGTCTGGTCTTCAGGTAATCTGGGCTGAAAGTTTCCTCCTCCCAGTTCAGCATCACCAAGGGTGTAGCATCTTCACTGCCTGCCTAAATATTGGCCTTTTCCGCACTCGCCCACATACTGGTTTGCTGGGGGAAGGGGAAATGAGGGCTCTAGCCCACGTCTTGGAACCTACCACTGCTGGTGTTGCCAGCATGCCCTGGGCTCCGTGAGAAAGCAACGCTGGTTTGGGAAGGGAGAGAAGCGGGCTCTGGTGAAAAATATCTGCTGGTCCTTGCTCAGCATCCTACAATTTCTTGTCTTAAGTTGGCATTCATGCTTTCGCTCTTCGTACCACCAATAACAAACCCGTGCGGGACTGGGAGGTGTGTGGCTGCACCCTGGGCTAGTGGGCAGCTGAACCACAGCGGAGGATACTGGTGGCAGGAGATGTGCCAGTGTCAAATGGTAGAGACTGGGGGAGTTGCTTGACGTGGAACTCCATGGGAGTATTGGAGAGAATTATGCACATCAGTCAGAAGGAATGAGAGTGGCTTAGGAAATGGCAGTGAGGCAGTTCAGTTGAGTTGGACTTTTGGATGAAACCTGATTCCAAGCAAATGTTTTCAAGTGGTTTGGCATTGCGGGTTTTTGGGGGGTTTGGGTTTTTTTTTTTTTTTTTTTTTAGAAATGTTAAATGCAGTGACATCTCTTTTGCTATGTTATGCTGGCTCTGGGAGAGTAGTAGTCTAGGAAAGAGCCCCAAAACTCCTGCCCAGCATAAATGTTTCTTGTGAGTCTGGTATCACCTGTGTATCAGAAACAAGAATGCAAAAAGAGTGCTTGAAAAAAAATTGTGACTTGAATAGAACCTATTTGATGTAAAGGGGGGAAAAAAAAAAAGAAAAAGGAACAGTTTCAATAATAAGATAAATTAGTCCTGTTAGCAAAGACTGCATTATGAATGATAATGGGAAAAAGCATGATATGCATATTCTGACTGATACACATGTCATATTGCCAAATAACTGTTATTTTGCATGGGGTGATGGGAAGAATGAATTCTCTGGATAGCGTAAAATGGAGAATTAATTCTGAATGACGTGCAAAGTCTTTCTAATGGCTGAGACGTGGCCTTCATCTTTTGTTGTTTCTCTGTTCTGTGCATATGGTTTCTTTATGGTACTGCCAAAATGTCCCTGTTGCTCAGCAACAGCAAGCTGAAATAGCACCAGTTGGAGGAAATCTGCTGATTTACACTGGTCATAAAGTGTGTACTCCTACCCAAGTGCAGATTTTGACATAAGAGTGAAAGCATAAGAGTAAAACCTTTGTAGGTTTACCTCTCTGGGGCACACACGGTTCTGGGAGGGGAGATGTCAGTTCAGACACCAAAAGATATCCTTTTCTGTTTGTCTAGTTTGACAAATGGAGAGGTGCATCCTCTGGACAGAACATGACCTTATCTAATCCCAGTCTGGGGGCCTGTCCAGCATCTCCCCTAGGAATGAGTCTTCATCTGGTCTCGAGGAGGTTTCCAGCTCTGCCTGTAGCTCTGCAGGCACAACACTGTGCCTTTGGCTGATCGTTCCTCCTGTACAGAAGCAATTTGCACATTTAAGAAGGTATCGATGCAGCAAAATGCCATAAGTACAAAGAGCAGAAGTTAGAAGTTTCCAAAGCATCCCCCATACACTCATTTCATAATTTTATTTTCCAACGTCTTCTAGACTACTTAAGAGATAATCTGTCTTTGGAAGAGGCTAGTGATGATAAATAGAGGAAAACTTATACCAAACTCAAAAAGGCATGAGTATTTGTTTTAAAAATTAACTCCACACAATATTATGTAGCTATTTACCAAGTAAAACACAGGAAATGGTACACTTTTACAAGTGATCTCTGGAGTGTCAGTCATACAGAAATACTGTCAAACATCTGAAAACCTAACACTTCACCAGAAAATACTGCCAGCAGTTCATCTCAAATATTTTTCACTCAGATCTTTTTGACATTTGCAAGAAGGCATGTGTTTTTCCCAACCTCAAAAATCAGCAGTAGCACTATTCGCAGGCTACTTTTTGTTTCCTCTGCTACAAGAGGAACAGGTTTTGATCTGCTTTCCCAGAAGCAACGTTACTGCACGTAGGCTAATGCCAAGTGAAGGACCGGAGCGTATGGAGTATTTTTGGTGAAGATGTCAGCTTCATCATGAGATGAAGTATCTTGATGAGCCAGGCAGTGACCAGCAGTGTTGGGTACAAGGTCACCTTCCTCCTTCCCTACCTGCAGACCCCAGGAGCCTGTGCAGAAGGTGGCACAAGGCTGGTCTGCTGTAGACCTCTGCTACGTCCACCAGTCCTCCAACCATCCTCTTTCCATCGTGGCATGGAGGGAGATGGCAGAGCAGCAACTTCAGCAGGAGACGAACTTGCTGCTTGACATTTGTGGGGCGAGGGTGACAGTGTAGGGAGAGAGGTCAAGAAGATCAGCTCACATTAGTTCTGCTTGTGCACAGGCTGAACAGAGCCATTTTATTGCATAGGAAAGGGGCAGCAATGACTTTGCTGCTGTCCCCTCCTTTGCTAACACATGACCTAGTTGAAGTATCAAGAAAAATCATGAGATTAACATAAAATCATTAATCTTATTACTTTTTTTTTTTTCCTTTTTAGAAAAAGATTCTTTGCACTGGTATTTGCTTTCTTGGCCTTGGGTTTGCAGACTTTTTTCTGCAGCTGGGTAGGCCTGAAACATTTATTTCAGGAAATATTCCAGCCTAGTGCAAACTAAAACATCCAAAAGCTGGGGCTGATAGACAGCCCCTCCCTGCCATTATTGTGATTTTTACCACAAGTCTTGCAAGTGTTAGCAACACTGCCTGCAATTTATCTGTGTCCATCTTGTGTGTGATGATTGCTAACGCACATCTCTCTCCACTGGGCTTGAGAGATCCTCCAGGTAGAATTCTTCACCATCTATTTTCTACTTAGCAAAGGGTACTCTTTATTCCACTTCTCTGCTACTATGAAGCTCTCTAAGACATATCCTATTGCTGTCATAAGCTGGTTTTAGCCATTAATTAGGAGTCCCATCAGATGCTGAGAGATGCTCTGCTCTTTATTGCTTTACGTCCGATTGCTGTGACTTTGATTTCACAGACTGATTTTTCTTTTCAACTTCTAAGTCATTTCCCCACTGCTTAAAATTGAAGTGTCTTTTCAGACATATGTGCGTTTGAATCATTACAGATTGGTCTTGGGAAAGGTCCTTCCAGCACAGCACAGTTCTATCTAATCAGGATAGCACAAAGGAATGTGGTGGAAAAAGTCTCTCCACTCATAAGGTGGTAATTTTTTTTTTTTTTTTGATCTTTTGACTTTGTAGCACACAAATCATGTTTTTTGGGGGAAACACCTTGCACTCTTGCCTTAAAATCTGCAAAGTATCTTTCTTCTTGGGTCTTTATACCTCACAGCAAGACCTCTGATGTTTCTTCATCTTCAGGTAATAAGCTCGGTTGGCTTCTGGATAGGTGACTTTGGAGAGTGGCAGCTTGTAGATGGCAGAGTTGTTTGTGCTTATTAACAGGAAGGTCAGCGCAGACAAGCAAAAAGACCAGGTTCCTGATGGCACCCCAAACTGCAAAGGAAAATACAAAACAACCTATTTACTGTATGTCTGTCTTTCATTCGATCCCCCAGCCCTTGAACAAAACCCAGAGCCAGGTAGCTTGGAACAAGCTTTCTCAGGGAAGTCTTGACTTGGTTTTGCATGGAGTCTCTCCCTGGGGAGGCAGAATTTCTTTATGAGAGCTTGACATAGTGCATTAACCTGCAACATCCACCAGCTCTGGTGAGAAGGCTGCCTTCTCTTTGTGCATCTGCAGTGGTCTTGGATGGAGATAAGAGAGGAGTGGATACCAGAAGCATTCAGCTTTTTCCTGGGCTGTTGTACTGAGTGTCTTTTGGCACTTGGGCAAAGCAATTAAACCAAATTTGAGATTTCTTTACATGTGTGGAGGGCCCTTTTCTCAATCACTTCAGGCACAAAGTATAGACATGTAATTATCTCAGAGGTGTTGAGGGCTGAGCTGTGGCAGTTCATGCAAGCTCTGAGGATGAAAAGTGGTGATCAAAGTCGCCTGTTCCAGTGGGAACCACACCAACCCCTGGGCAGACCATGTCCCCTCTCCCAGACCCGTTCTGCCTTTGGCTGAATTGTTCTCTGAGTCTTGGTGTTCTGCCTCACAAGCCAGGAAAATGCCCAAATGTACAAAATGTTCAAATCTGTCTTTGAGGAAAAAAGACCTTAGCTAATACACTACTTACCACAGACAACATGTTAGTCACTGTTGCTCCCAGGTAGGCACTGAAGAGCGCTGTGAAAAAGAAAGTTCCTGGTGATTTTGGTTGCTCACGGAGGAGACCAGCAATGGCAAAACATCTCTCCCACTGCCTTGTGTAGCTCAACCAATGTTTACAACCATGCCTGGACAGCCCCCTCTTAAAGCTTTTTCCTTTGCACTGTGTCCCCTCCAACCTGGAGCTCATGGAAAGGGCGAAACAAAAAAAGAACTGGAGTGATGAAAAATGAGACTATGGAAACAGAGCCTTTTGAAAAATGCACTGACATGGAAAGTATGTAGCTTGATGGATGGGGTTAAATAGGAAAATAAGCCTTCCACCCCCATCTCTCCTGCCTCTAGGGCTAGAAGGTGGGTCAATGAGATACAAAGCTAAATCTTTTTTATATGAGCACTGAATGAGCAATAGTTTCACTCCCAGCTCACTGTGATATTGAAATTTCATATGGAATTGCCTTATAAATAATTCTTCAATCATTCTGTGTTGCCTAGCTCATGCCTTTGGTATCCCTTTCAGTAGGCTGAGGAAACTGTACTGTCTAACTATAGGTGCGGACTCATCTTGAGCTCCAGTTTTCTCAAAGTTTAGATACGTCCTCCTCCGAAGAAGGAATTTGAGCTGGTATCTGTGATTGGAAAAAACAATATGATTCATCCAGCAACGTTGAACGAACACAATTAATGCCTCAAACCCAAGCATCTCATTTCAAAGACCTTAGTCAATCAGCATCCACTGATTGCGCCTCTTGTTTTGAACGCAACTCTTGGCTGAAAGTGAAAGCGCTCCTTTTATTTTGTCAGGGTGCGTTAGAGCAATGGCTCCACCATCCAGCTCAATCGTTTGTCAGTCTCGCCGAAGTCCATCTGCCTGTCTAGAGGTGGCCATTTGGCTTCAGCCCACCTCCAGTATAAATGCATCTCGTCTCACTTCAAAAGGAAGCGTGGTAATAGTGAAAATCCATAGGGTACGTACCGCAGGCAATTGCCAGCAAATGTGTCTGCCAGGTGAAAGCGTAGAACATGCCTCCGATCGCAACGCACGAGAGGGAGCTGTTGTAACCCCACAAGCCCGAGTAGATTTTGCTAAAAGGTGTTGCTAGACTCAGCGCTGGAAAATAAGTCAAAGATGTGTCATTCCTTGGCTAAAGAGAAAAAAGCAGCTGAGAAATGGCATGAATCCAGCTTTTTAAGGGCTCTAGCCTGCATACGTACATGGAATTCCTATTTGTAGTTGTGTTGCTATGGTCTAAGGCTAAGGCCGCTTTAATCTAATGCAATCAGGGCAGAATTTCCCTGCTGCTGTAGAGCTGAATTCGGCCGTGTGATTTCAGCAAAAGATGTATGAGTGAACGAGCATACGTGTGAACCTTAAATGTATCCTTGAGGCCTGCACATTCAGACTGATGGCTATGACTTTTATTAAGCCACTCCTAAACCTGTCAGAATATACCCAGAAATGAAGTATTTAATAATAAAAATTCATTTCAGCCAAAAGTAGGCTTCTTTCTTCTGAAGATTTCCACCATCATGAAATGAGGTAAGAGAATGGGGAAGTCAAACAAAAGAATTCTTAAAACAGAATTGTATGTATATATATTTTTTTAAGCAGTCATTCTCCAATGGAAGAAACATTTGTGACTGTAAGTGCTCCACTCATTGCGGTTCCTCTTTTATTCTCCATGTTTTTATATAAATCTGCAACACAAGTCAAGTCCTTACCTGCCAGCATCCCTACTGCTGATCCAATTGCTGCATGCAGACAAATGAGTGGAGAAGAGATAAATAAAGCAATCAGGAAAATTCCTCCAGTCCAGGGGTTATCGCAGCCATAAACCTGACCCACCCCGACTGGAATGGATTGCAGGAGCTGCAGGAATTAAAAAAAAAAAAAAAAAAAAAAAAAAGACAATTTGTTATTGGTTTCATAATTTTTTTTTTTAAACCTATTTTTCTTGGTCAGGTTCGTGTTCGGCATTTGTTAGATGCAGTGTCTCTTCCTGGACTGTCAGTGGAAAGTTTGGACAATTCTCAGGAGACAGCAGGGCATTTCCACAGGGTTTTCCCCTTTGATGAAAATGAGTCACGCCTTGTTCCTTAGCCATGAGCTCCTCTGCCAGGTTTTTGCTCTAATATCAAATGCAAATGTCTTTTGTGAAAGGGTTTGCTCATCATCTTTACACATGCTGCTGACATGACCATTTTTGCATGCTGTTGATGATGATGACTTTGAGAAGATATTTGGCTCTGAGTGGGCAGATCCAAGGATGAAATGGCCAATAATGTCTTGGCCAGAATTACAAGACTTGGGTTAGGCTGTATCCCCCTTCTACTTTTATACCTGAAACTCCCTTGGGATTCACTAGGAATATGAATGTGTAAAAGTTGCTGGGTTGGTGGGACAGAGCCCAACTTGGTCGCAACTTAGAGATGGTTTTGAAACACTTCTCAAAATGTTGTGTTCCTCCACATGGAACAGCCCATTTATGGTCCTCATAAAATTATGTGCCACGGGAAATGTTTTCTGAGAAATGTTCACTCATATGGATTGCTATTTAGTATCAATTAACTTCTTTTTCTTAATAACTCCCAGGGAACCCCTCAAAAGAGCCCACTGAGCCTTAGGGGAAAGCTATTACTCCAGTATCTATGTTGTTTACCATGCTATGCAGGAAAATAATTTTATTTTTTTTAAAGGTCCCACTTGAATCTTAACTAAAAATATGTGAACATGTGCCTGCACCCAAATTTGTAGCCATTCTTCCATAGTAATATCTGCTTGCTTATTTCTAATCAGAAAGATGCAATTTAAAAAACGCAGCACTCTTTACGTGGAAAACTAAAATTAACCTGTGAGTGAACTGGTAGTCTCAGCACAACCTTATCTATGGGGTGCTGATCAGTATACGCACAGTAATAGGTAATTAGATTCTAGAGGCACTTTGAAGATTACAGTTTAGATCCAACTGTAAATGAAAGATAGCAGATAATACCAAAAAGATTCATATTTTCAAGCTATCAAAAATGTCAATTCCTGGAGTAAACCTTTACGTTTTGGATAATAGTTATCTTATAAATGCAATTTTGTATTGCCAGGCCATAATGCAGTAACGGAAAGGAAGATAATATGATTCTATAGTGGTTTTCTTTGTAAATCGAGAAGGTTGTTATCTTCAGGACACCTTACCATTGGCATTTTGGCATTCGTCCAGGTGATGTTTGGTGTTGCTGTTGCAGACTGAATGACGGTTGTAGGGAAGAAGAGGTTATGGGGTCCTGATGCAGCCAGATAGAGGGTCAAGGCCAAGTTGAAAGGCAAGGTGAAAACAGGCAGATCCCACTTACAGAAGACTGAGCCTAAAGCGCTGGTGAAAACAGGGCTGAAAGAAGAACAAAATGGTCACACTAGGAGCTTGTCAGCTAGGAAAAAAAACCAAACCACAAAACCCAACAAAAAAAACCAACTGCAGGAAATTCACTCTATTTTTTTAAAAAAAGCTGTTTAATTTCCTCAGTGTTTCTGATAAAATCAGAGATATGCTAGGTCACCCGGTAAATTTCCTGCCCTTCCCAGGACAGTTAGCAATGTACAGATTCCTGTCAGGTTACGCAATATGTGGTGAATTTGGCTCCATGAAGGAGCCAAGATCCTCCATTCATATGGAGGATCCAGTGATTTAATGGAGTTACTTCCCAGCTCAGTCTCAGTGTTTACTTTTTTTCCTTTTAGTACGTGAAGTGGATTGAATTTAGGACACCCGTGTCAGGTCTGAGTGAATTGCGAAGAAGGCTGTGTGTCCTTGTTCATTCTTATGGATCAGGGTCATTAGAAGTAAAGGCTGATATCAAATATATGCGTATTAAAGTGAGTATAATACCACATGAACTCCAGGCAGACAGATGATTTGTGTGGTTTAGCAATCTCCAGCTAGACATTTGGGGACCAAAGGCCAGCTTTCAAAATTTTCACTGTCCAAATACCTAGCAGATTATGGTGTCATATATATAAGTAAAGTATTATTAGTTGTTTGTTTTCATTAGCATCAACCGTCATGTCTTGGGACCACTGAACAGCTTCTGTGCTTGGAGAAGTAAATTTTCGTGACATTTTTATATGGCAGCTTAAATAGATGAAACACTTGTGGTTGGTGGTGGGGAATGGTGAAAATAATGTTTCTCTTGAAACAAAAATGAATTGACTCATGGCAGCAATATGGCTAACATTTGGGGCATTGAATTACACATGATCAGCCATCGATTTTCCTTTTCCCCATTGGGTTTATTTGTGATTATGCGGGTGTTTTATTGTTTCTGGATTACATCTGAGTTTAAAAATGCAAACAATGATACAGATTTAGTAGCACGTATGTGCCAGTTGTGTTTCTTTTGTGTTGCAGTCGGCATAGTGCATAAAAATACAACAGCTCAGTCTCCGTGTGGGGACACTGGGACTGGAATAAGAAGCAGAGGAGCCATCCGACTTACCACGTCATGGACACCAGCGCTACTGGCAGTAGAAGCCACCAGTGGTAGTTTCCCTTAGCAGAGAAGACGGCCATGAGCAATCCCACCAAGACCCCGTTATAGCCGTACAGACCTGCTGCTATGGCTGATCTGTGTGAAGAAAACAACTATCTTGAAATTTTCTCCCCTGGGGGTGCTTTGCTCCCATCACCCCCTCCCTCCCCATGCAGTTGTGACTCTGATGACGACCTGCCAAGGTTCCTGCACCGACCTTCAATTTACTTGAGTCCCACGTCCTCTCAGCAACTACTCCTTCTGCAGTTACGTCTAAGTGTCTCTTTGCACCAGATGCAGCTGGTGGGAAGATCTGTCTGGTCCTACCAGACCAGATACATAGCCGGTGAAGGCTAGATACGTGCTCCTCATCCACGCCGCTTGTTTAACACATAAGTCAGCACTGAAGTGACAGTCTGGTTTTGAAGGAGAAAAGGATGGTCTTACCTGTCCTGACCCAGAATAAGTGCTGTTAAAGTTGAGACAACTGTTCCTAAACAGCCTGTGAGCGTCCACCATGGGTTCTGCACCAGGAAGCCAGCAACTACGATAAGCCCGCTGAGGGGATTGTTGACAAACATCACCTGGGATATCCCACGCAGCACCCAGTCAATAAACTGGATCATGAGAGGTTTATCTGGAAGAGATCAAATTAAATAATAAACTGCCCCCCCCCCCCCCCAAATACACAGATGGTACTGATTCGGGATGTTTTTTTCAAAACTCAGGAAGAATTTTGGCAGTGGAACTTGGCAGCACGACTGAAGCCATAAATCAACAAGACTGTAAAACCTGACTGGGATTTATTATGGTCTATGCTGAAGTCTTACAGCTGGAAAGCTGAGATGAACAGTGTGGTTGCCAGAGTACCCTGGACCGGATTCATATGAACCAGCTAATTTATGATGCCTGTGCCTCAGATGGCAAATCGTGTGTGTATCCCATTGCTGATTTATTATGGGGACCAAACACACCTACCTATGTGTGATTTAACTTCACAGTGGCATTAGGCTTGACAGAAACTGCTCAGCTGAAAGGACAGGGAGCATTATGAAGAATGGCAGAGCACAAAATAACCATCCTAGGCTGTGTTCTGTGGGACTAAATTCGCTTCGTACATGGCGTGTTGGGAGGTAAATGTCATCTCGGTCATCCTCAAGATTTAAGCAGTATGTGGATCTCTGCACAAAGCTGATTTTTTTCACTACAAAATGGAAATAAATCAGGGCAGAGGTAGTTTCTGTACTACTCTAACTTGAATCACATTACTGAGATGTTAGTTATTACTCCTTTGATGCAATCCTTCTTTGGAATTCCCTAATTAGTCATGATGAAGTAGCTTTACCTTTTAGCCAGGCTCCAAATTCCTTCATGTCTCCGGTGATGTACCCAACAGCTCTGCAGACTCTCTTCCCAGCTTTGCTCAGTGGATTCTGCTTTATTGGCTTTCTTTCCCCTTTGGTTTCTATCTTGACATCAACACTGTTTTCCATGTTGATGTTCTGACCCTTTGGCAAAATTCAAGGGAAAAAGAAAAGACAGATCATTACAATGCCTCTTACTGATCCCTGTTTATTCTCTCTACCACATATTTTTGCTCACCATGTGTTATTTTGGAGCCAGAAAGAGGAAAATCCTTACTCTGAACACCTGATTCTCATGTCTCCATGAGCACATTCCCTCTTCATGTGCTTTTGGGACCCTGCGCTGTCCTTCCAGACTTTCATGCAGTCATAGATTTGAACACCACAAGGAACCACTGAGCCTTGTGTCATAGTATTTTACGTTATTTTAACACTCTGCTCAGCTATACCATGTTTTCTAGAAATCAAGCAGCTCTTGATTTAAAGGGTGACTTCAAGAAGAGCAAGGTGGCATTAAAGGACACTGGCTTCACAGAAGTTGAAGCTCACCTCAAGATTCAACTTATTAGAGATCCAGCACATCTAGGAAGCTGCTTCAGTGATTACGTTTCCTCTGCTGCTTAACCCATATTTCCAGTTTGATTTTATCCATCAGCTATCAATAATAGTTACCTAGAGTTAGGTTTATAGATCTCTATCCTGTCACCTATTGGGATCAGTTCAACATTTCTCATGTCCTATAGCCAATTCGTTATTTGTCTAAGGGCCAATTCTCAATATGAAGTCAGCAAATTAAAACCAGCCAAACCTTTCCCTGGAGCGTACTCAGTTTTCTGAAGAGTAGAACTAATTCTTGGTAATTGTCAAGACAAAGAAAACACAAGACAAGGTAAGTTGTTGAGCGAATACAGAACCAGAGCTGCTTCAGGTCTCACCCGTGAGTAGCAGCTTGTGCAAGAACTAAAGGATTTAGGTTGGGAGTTAATAGTCTAAATAGGATGATACAAACACAAAAGTGTTGGAGTTAGTCCTTGACTCACTTGCAACTTTGGTAAAAGCCTTCTTGGCGGCTGGGGAAGAGAATCCATGCTTCAGAAATACAGGTGCTGAGTACTTAAGCTAAAGCAGCCTCATCCTTGGGTGTTACACTTGCAGACCCAGACATGTTGTTAAACAGCTCTGAGTCTGTGTAGGGGAATGGCTGGTTAATGTACGTCCTGGCCAGTTTCTTACTGTGTGTTTATTGGAGGGCTGTTGGTGACATTTCGGAAGTAGTAAATATTTGCACAAATAATAAACAGACATTTTCTGCCTTCTGGGAGGACCCACCTAATGCAAGGATAGGTTCCACCTGAAAGAACCTGAAGACAGGACCAGTAAGTAGAAGAGTGTTGAATTTGACTTTGTGTAGGACACGAAGGCAAGGAGCTTAACTAGAGGAGGAAGAAAAGAAAAGGATGAGAGTATTGCTAGGGATGGTGTCTTGGTGCTGGAAGGCTTTTTCCTGGCTCAGTTATAATTCATTACCTTGATTCATTAACCTTCGCTTTTCTCATATTTTATTCTGAAATAATGGAATAAGTGAATTGGATGCACTTTCAGTTAAATCAAAATTTCCAGCCAAGACAAATGCTCTTCATTTGGTGAAACTGCATTTACATTTTCAATTTATAGAATCTTCCTCTTTAGGTAACTTAGGCTTTCTCTGTTGCTAATCCGTAAAGTCAAGGGCTGTTGCATTTACAGAGCGATGTTTTGTGTCCCGTGCTAGCACGCCCAATATGTTTCCCCGCATGCGGAGTGAGGAGCTGTTTGCACCGCAGGAGCCTGGAGACGTTCTGCAGCGTGGGATGTAATGGGCACGTGAAGAAGTATCAGAGTCACTGTCTGGCCCGCTCACATGGTGGAGAAGAAAACGGGTCAGATTGGAAGCCCTAATTCATCAGAACTTTGAGTCGCTTTGCCGTAGGAAGGCACGTAAGTGCGTATTTAACTTGCCAGTGAAGCAATGCGAGTCCAGTGCTGAATCAGGACCAGAATGAACGGGAAAAGACTTTGCCCGTGGTGAGTACCCAGGTGGAATTTCACTTCTTTCTTGTGCAAGGTAATTTTTACTCTGGGATATGTAATAATTACACGCTGTAAATCCCTGTGAGATGTGAAACCTTTTGTCTGCTCCCAACACTATTTGGCAGTGCATGGGCTGTGCTGCTGGCACGGCAGCTGTGTGAGGCAGTACTGCACCATGCAAGTCTGGAGAACTCCTTTGCTCTGGGTTTTCACGGGCAGAAATGAAGTCAGATCGATGCACTTGGCATGGCAAAAAGGCCAGGTGAGGCATTTCCACCAACCTGGCTTGAACTTCACCCCCGACGAAGGCTGTGTCAATGCCCTGCATACCTGTTCTTCCAGAATATTCAAAATCGGAGTGCCTGGGGGGCGATCACAGGCACCTTCTGGCCGGTGGTCAAACTCATGTTCACTATGTCCCTGTCCATCAAGTGATGTGTCTCTCTAGAGGGGAATCACATGAACTTCAGTTCATCTTTCCTATCAGCTTACATAGGAGAAGGAAATCATTACAAAACACCCCCATCACCCGCAAAGCAGCCCGGTATGCAATGGGGAGGCCAAGAGCACTCTTGGTTTCAGATGAGGACTTTGTGACACCGTAAAGACCCAGATCCAGCCCCGTTGGCTTCGCTGCCACCCCAAATGACATCGCAGGTGCCGCGTGAGGGCTGCCTCCTGCGTGCGCTGATTCGGCTGTCGCCACCGGCATGGGAATTTTCCCATCCATCCAGAAATGCAGAGCATGGAGGACTTGCTCTACTTCTACTTACTTGTCCAAAGAAAGTATAAAGGAGCAGTGAACCACCTGGAAACCAGCACCAGCAGAGAATTTTTGGGGCAATTTTAATAATTTTTGGCGTTGTAAGAAGTGATAGCTGCCGTATATGCTCAGATTAAAGATCTGCTAACACATTACCTTGTTTTAGGGGGTAGGTGATAGCAGCCGTTTTAAGAAAGGACAGAACACATGGAGATGTTCAGAGAATTTTAAGTCTTGTGAAGATCTGCTATTAAAGTTATGTTAACATGCAGTTTTCAGTCAAGGTGGGCTTTCTTTCTTAGTGGATGAAGGAGGGAAATGGAAATAATTGTGAAAGGACTATTCTGCTGGAACAGACTGCTTGGCTTCTGTGGGGAGAAAGGATTTTGTAAAAATTTTTTCATTCCTTATTTCTGTTAGTCTGGGAAAGTGTTTTTTGATCTCAGATTCTGAACTAAAGACTGTGTAAGTCCTGCTCTCAGACACACGGCTTGAAGTGCACCTCCTGATCTCATGTATGCTCTGGAGCAGTGCTCCAGACGTGCATTTGGTAGGAAAACCAGTGTGGGCTCCTGATGCTGGTGTGTAACTGGTGTGATACAGGAGCAGCAGCAGGACCCAGGCAGAGGGAGTCTGAATGCGATTTTCATCTCTGTGGTGCAAGGACTGACTTGCTGCAAGTGCAGAGGAACTATTTAAAACTATTTTCCCATGGTGTACCGTGGAAAGTGAGAGCTAGATTTGGGGCGCTGCTGCTTTTCCCCAGTGATTTCAGATGTTTGCTGTCTCTCCTTGCCTAGATATCTTTGTGCTGTTGGATAATATCTTTCTGCCATCCTCGCTAAGAATGCTCGTGTAAGCAGAAAGGAAAGTTTTGCAGCTAGAATTATCTAAATACTTTTGTATCAGCTATGAAATGGAATCCGTGAGAATAGAAAAGAAAAAAAAAGATGTTTCTCTTGCATGGAAATGAAATCACCTCAGGGCCAAGAAGCTAATCTATTGTTTTTTTAATCATCTTTTCAGAGTTAATAAATGTCCTGTAGCAAAGTACTGATGTTATGCAACTTCATGTCTCCCTAAATCAATTTCTCTTCCACTTGTGTACACTTCTTCCATGTCACGCCATACCTACGGCATCTCAGTAATGCCTCGTTAAAGCTGCAGCGAAGCAGGCTCCGTGCTGGTGCTGCACTCCTGCAACATCTGGCCTGCAAATACTTTTTTTATTCACGTGCTGAAATGGAGACAAGCCCGGTCACACATTCAGTATGTGTTATGCACGGTAAGACTGGTGCTGTGCTTGCAGCTGGGAAAGGAGCAGAGGCTTTTATTTGGCTAATTGTTTTAATACTCCCAGGTAATAGTTAATTCCAAGCTGGTGCCTGCGTTGCTAGGTTTGGGGCTTTTATCTCTAAAAATGCAGCAAAGTTATCTAACACATTCTCTTCTTTCTGGAATTTTCCTCTCTCCCTGACAAAATTCAAGTTACTCTGTAAATCAAGAGGATTTAAATTACCGTGTGGTATTTCTTTGTCCAAGGAACTGCTACTGCACAATTGCAGTCATTGTATCTTGCATTCTCCAAATTGTTGCTGTGAAGCGTGCGGGCAGCCAGCTCTGTGTGCAGCATGTTTTTAGAGGAATTCCTGCATCCAAGTACAATAGGAGGAAAGGGCCAGATTCTCAGCAACTCTGATTCCAGCATAGCCTGTGTAATGTTACCAGGGCTTTAATAAAGCTGGATAAATGTAGTGTTGTGTTATGTATAGGAACACACGCACGCACAAGCACACTCCCCAGCACAGAGAGATTATAATGCACTTGACCCTCACTGAAAAAAAAGTTCAGGTTTTCCAATAGAAGATACTTTTCAAAGCATTAGTTCAAAAGAAAGCTTATCCCTCAGATTCAAATATTCATTAAGCCCATTCGCAATTCAATTTTCAGAGATCTGTCTCTCGGGGACAGAGAAATCCAGAGATACTATCACATTAACTGTATATTATTACTATTTGGGCATTTTTCATTTTGCAGAATGGAAAGGCAGTAAAAGGAGATGTTAAAGAGTTCCAGTTGTTTGTTGTTGTTGTTTTTTTTTTTTTCCTTAAAGGTTCAGCCAACTGGGCTAAGCAGTACTAATAAATCCTCACCCTGCTAGAAAATTCTCAATAATTGAAATTCTTGTGACATTCGCTAACCTCTGTGCTCCTCTTGAGCTTTAGCTGCTCTGACTCAGGAGGACTGTTGAAATGCTGTTTGTTAGGTGTTTTGGGGAAGAAGAAAGATCCAGGTAAGACAGTCAGTCAGTAACAGGGTGCATGTTTATTGCTGTGCATTCAAAGGAACAAAGAGAGTGCTCTTACCTCTCTGATGAGTTCAGGGGTGGCTGTTGCTTTGCTGGCTAGGACAGAAGGAAAGCAGGGCTAAGAGAGTGGGAAAAAGAAAATGCCCTACCAGCTTATATAGCCCAGCATGGCTCCTGTCCTGATATTACTAATTAGTTTGTTTCTCCTCCCACTTAGTGAGCTCCAAGCAAATGTTAAGAAGTTTCCCTCTTGAATTCTCCACCTTTCCTCTTGCTCTGTCCTTGGTCTCTTGCCAACAGCCTCTCCAAATGTCCTCTTCCCTGCTGCTTTTTTTTTTTGTCTTTTTTTTAAACTAACTCTCCTTTAACTCTGTCCTTTCTCCTCCTCCACCACTTAAAAAGACTCAAGGCTTCAAACCAGACTCTCGATATACCTGAGCTCGACCTCTCCAGCGTTATTCTCCTTACCCAAGACAGGTCAGCATCCTTCCCTCGCAAAACGCTGACCTGGGAGTGTGCATCACAGCGTGTCGTGTATCAGCAGCCTGTTGAGTTTTCCTGTTTCTGGGTAATTTTTGGAGGCACTATTCTATTAACACACCAGAGCGAAGGACCTGGTGACCTTCCGTTGTTTAATTGCTTTTTATCAGTTATTTGAGAAATTCAAGGGGTATTTTTCTTTCTTTTTTTTAACCTGGCCTCCCTGGCTCGCTGGAGGAATCTGGAATATCAGAAGCGTGGCATATTTGAGGGGTTTATAAGGCTCTGAAATCACCGTGAAAGGTGGAGAAGAGGCTGGAGAGGGAAGTCTTGAGGGGGTGAATTACAGGAGAAAGGGCAGAGAAAAAGCTAGTGAACTTAAAGGAACCCGTTAGGCTAATTTAAACCACAGTTTAATTCACTTTAGGACTTCTTGACAGTGACGGCTTAGAGTGCAACTTCACCCGAGTGCTGGAGCGAATGGTTTGTTGTTGAACCAAAACCCATCTAGCTTTATGACTTTGCTTCCTCCAGCCCTGTGGAAACAGCCTTAGCATCTCCATGAGCTGGAGTGACGTTATTCTCACTGTGTTCCTTCCCAGGGTGCCTCTCTTTTGATGGAGATGTTTTTAACAGGAGACTGGATTTGTTTTTTCCACGCCTAAGAGTAGGGTATCTGATAGCGGTTGTCAGCTTAGCATCGCTGAGTGAGCAAGGCTTCCTATAATCAAACAGGCACCAGACGTTGTGAGCAAGCCAGACACTGCCATCCCCTGACTTTACACCCAGTAGTACACATTACGTTAAATTTTGCAGGGGAAGCTGCTTTGCTCCAGCGTGGTAAATTTTTTTCCCTTTACTGTTAATTTCTTCTTGGACTGCCTTTGCTTTCTCACTGGTAAAACAAATCCTTGCATCTCAAAAGAAGGGAAATGCATTGGGTAAGTTGGATGGGAGATCCTCATAGGGAATCTGATCGGATTAAGTTTTAGACTTCACATCTCTCATGTTTTGAGGATGCTCAGGCCTGGCCTCAAGTCGTTTAAAACAGCATCTTTTCTGCTTTCTGTGAAAGAGATGCAGTGCAGGGGGCAGGCAGGATTCGCTGTCGGGCTGTGCTGCCTCCTTCTGTGGAGCGGTGGGGTGGCTCTTTCCTCCACAAAACCAGATTTGGGACCCCCCTGTCCAAGTCTGGCACTTTAATGAGGTTGTGGACACATTGGAGGGGATTCACAAAAAAAAAGCCACTGGCTTGCAGGTCCGTGATGGATGTCTCGGAGCGATGCTTTGTTTAGATTGTCAGAGCTGGTTAATGAGTAACGGGGTCAGAGTCTGCTGATGCCTACGTGGGAATGAAGTCCCTGGCAGCAGCCTGCTCTGTGAACTAGAAGCAGAGCAGTGATGATCTCCAATACCATGTCATGGCTTCACCGGATCATAGGTGCAGCCAGCTACGGGGAGGGTTTGACTACTGCAGCAACTGCCTTAGGGAATCCCTAAATTTCTAACAATTACCTTCTGAATAGGTCTGGGCCAGATCACAGATGGGGTGCTGGAGTCAAGTGCGGGAACATCTGCCCGCGGCTGTGTGCCTTAGACGGCCAAAGCACTGCTGGTTGCCTGAGGACTGAAATTCCCTGTAGGACTGGTGCAGGAGGGTGGGAATGATAGAAAACCTCCTAGGTGTGATTCAGTCGATGCCAAGCCAGGTGCCCATCACTAGCCTCCAGTGCTGGGCACTCAAGGGCGTAGGTAACTACTCCTGTCTTTTGGGCTTTGGGATTCAAGGTGGGAAGACTAAAACAGCATAGGCCGTTCCTCGTCCAAAGGATCAAGATGTGCCGGTTCTGTAGCTGTTGGGTACCATCCGTCTGGGAGCGGGCCACGAGCTCT